TATCTATCTATCTATCTATCTATCTATCTATCTATCTATCTATCTATCTATCTATCTATCTATCTATCATCTATTATCATCATCATCTTTCTATCTATATCTATATCCATCCATCCATCTATCATCATCATCTTCATGATCATGAGCTGTGGTGGTACAATGGTTAGAATCCATTACTGCAAGCTACTTCTGTTGACTGCCAGCTGTTTGCAATTTGGCAGTTCAAATCTCACCGAGCTCAAGGATGACTTAGCCTTCCATTCTTCCAAGGTTGGTGCAAGCTATTAAAATGCCATTGTTATAATTCCAATTTTAAACAGTGAATTAAACCCAAACAATACGGAATAGTTTATTTTTCCAGTTAATCAAATGAAAAGAAAGGGGGGGGGGAGGAGAATTCAAGGGACATCATTTTCAGCTCATATTCCCAAAATTAATCCAATCCCCCCCTAAAAAAACAATGGGGTAACTTCAGACCCCTTGGTATGGTATAATGAAGTTAAGCCAGAAGCGATATTGCTCTGCATGGGTTAAAATATTCCACATACGGCAACCAGCCATATGTCCTTTCTTCCAATCGAAGAAGACTGCCACAATAAATACACAAATGTCTCTTTGATCTTTCTTTTCTTTCTTTCTTTCTTTCTTTCTTTCTTTCTTTCTTTCTTTCTTTCTTTTCTTTCTTTTTTGTTACATAGATGAAAAACAGTTTTGATGCGAAATGGCCTGCAGGTTTGAGCTTCTGGTTATTGATGGGATTATAAAATCAATGAGTTTCTTTGCAAAGGACTGGCTAGCACATGTATGCTTTGGTTCTCACAGACGGTCTTTGATGAAAGCAAGGGAAGGTATTTGAGAATATACGGCAAGTCAATCTCTTTATTAATCAGAGGAGAAAAAAATGGGCAAACTGAATGTAGAGATAACTATTAGACAGGAACAGGGGTGGGTTCATAACGGCATTGGTACCCATTCGCTTCGTGCATGCTTCACACATGTGCGTGTGCACAGTTCACTGTAAATTGTTCTGCGCATACGTGAAGACCATGACAAATTAATTTTTAAAAAAACATGCTGGCAAAGGCAGCAGAAACCGAGGGACCAGTTCAGGGGTGTGGCCAGCCTGGGTTGCTGCCGGTTCTGCAACCCAGGCCAAATTACCACAACCAGTTTGCCCGAACCAGTGCGAACTGGTAGAAACCCACCTCTGGATAGGAAAGGAAATGCAGCATTTATGCAACATCTTTCCATCACTCCTGGATTCAATGTACAAAATATTTAACCCTGAATAAACATAGAAATGAGGCCCTGGCTCCTATTTATTGCTTCTTTTAATAGATAATATTGAGAAGCTAAACTAGGCAATTCATGCCTAACATATAATCATAACAATTTATCATTTGGCAGCATTTGGATGATTTTAGATAATTTAATTCACTCACGTTTCATGATGAAGAACCCATGAAGAAAGCTGATGAGAAGAGATCTTGGAGGCCACTAAGGCTGAGATCAGAAAAAATTTCCCCAGTTCTTCAGTTTGGAGAGAAACACTCATCTTTGGACATTTATTTTCACTCCCCCACCCCAAAGGAACTCTGGTGGAACTCTTGGTTGAAAGAGAATTTGGTGTAGTGTGTCAAACTCGCTGTATCACATTGCCATTAGGTGACATTTCACAACATTTTCCCAAGTAGGCGTGGCCTGCTCATGATGCATCCAACCCGTGGGTCGTCATTTGACACTTCTGGTGTAGTGGTTCAGGTGCTAGCTTAGAACCCAGAGTCTCTTCATTGGGAATAAATATTTTCTTTTTTACAATTCCTGTAATCTCTTGCTTTGGGGTGAGGTGTGGGGTATAACTGAACGAAGCTGAGAATTTGTTGGCCCGATGCCCTTCCTGATGCCTATGTGGAGTTCACAGCAGATATTTTCTTTTTGTGCCCTGATAGAGAAACATATGTCATTGCCTAGAATTGAACTCTCAACCTTTTCAGTGGGAGGCGAGCGTCTTCACCTCTCAGCCGCCATGCCGCTCTGCAAATAAGTAGAGGAATATATTCCTCTAAATAGATTTCATTTCCATCAAAAGGACTACGAATGTTAGAGGAAAAACATAAGAAATGTTGGCACCACACTAATTTAGTGTTTTGCTTTCTGTAACCAAGATTAAAAATAGCTTGTAAATCACTATTTATGATATTCTGGTCTTTTAAAGATCCTATAGGGAGCTATAAATATGGAACAGAGTTGCAAGGAAAACCATTTTTGTAAATGGGTTCCTTTGCCTAAGGAAAACCATTTTTTTTTTTTTTTGCAATCTTAATCATCACCACTTAACTGTATATGCTTCTCCTGTGTGTGGAGGGAAATGAACAAGGAGAGATATTACGATTCCTGCAAACTTTCGCTATGAAGATTGAGCTCTTATTTGTTTTCTCCAGAATGCTGGGGAGTCAATGTAAGGAGTAAACAATCCATAAAGGAAATTGTTGTGTAGAAATCACAATAAATAGAGCTGAATATCAAATTCATTATATCTGGCACGTTTAGTATGATATGAAGTCTGCTGAGTTCTGGGTTTTTATTACTTTATATGTGTAGTTCTCATTTGGTCACCTTTTCAAGTTCCAATACGCTGAAAAAAGGGACATGAACATTTCCCACACTTATGACCATTGCAGTGCACCTGATTTACATTTGGACAACTGACTCACAACTGTAACGGTCACAGTGTTCCGGAGTCGTGTGGTCCCCTTTGGCGACCTTCTGATGAACAAAGTCAAAGGGGAAACCATGTTCATTTAACAACCGTGTTACTCATTTAACAACTGCAGCGATTCACGTCACAAATGTGGTGAGAAAAGTCATAAAGTAGGAAAAAGCTCACTTAAGAAATGTCTCACTTAGCAACGTAAATTTTGGGCACCATCATGGTTGTACGTTTAGGACTACCTGTAGTCTCTGACATTATGGGCTGGAGAGATGGTAAGGAGAGGCACTAATAGTTCATCAATAGTCTAACCATTTCTTATCTTTTTAATGATTCAAGAGGTTCTTTTTAATAAGAGAAGATTAATTGAAATGCATTTTTGATCACTCATGAAGGAATGGTAGATTTGAGAGAGAGTCTCCCTGTCTGCTATACAATAACAGAATTTGAAGAGACTTTCTAGGTCATCTATTCCAACCCACCCCCAAGCAGAAGACCTTACACCATATCTGACACATGGCAATCCAGGCTCTTCTTCAAAGCTCCCAGTGGTGAAGCTCCCACAACTTCCAAAGGCAACTTCTGTTCCATGGGTTGATTGTTCTCACTGTCAAAAAGGTCTTCCTTATTTCTAGGTTGAATCTCTCCTTGGTCAGTTTCCATCCATTATTCTTTGTCTGGCTCTCGGGTGCTTGGGAAAATAGCTTGACCCTCTCCTCTCTGTGGCAACCCCTCAAATATTGGAAGACTCCTATCATGTATCCCCTGGTCTTTCTCTTCACTAGACTAGCCATGCCCAGTTCCTGCAATCGTTCATCATATGTTTTAGCTGTCAGTGTTCCAAATATTATGCAGAATTAAATCAGAGTCCAAGGCAGAGCTATCCTTAAAGTTCCAATTTAATAAGATAGACATGTTGGCATCGTACTGTGGAATCCCAAGTCTGGAAGTTACATCGGATTCCCACCCAGTTGGAAGTTCATGATCTTGTCCCACACCCACAAATCCATCACATGGTCCAATCTTCTTCTTCCATGCTGGCATCTCCACCCAGTTGGTTCCGGTCAGGTATAGAGATGCAAAGACAAAAGATGACCTTGGGCTTCTAGAAAAGAATGACAACAACACATTCCAGAATTCTACTCCTTTATATTCCCCACTCCCAACTACTACACTAATGAAACAGCATAGTGAAATAATAGAAAGTGTGGCAGGCCAAAGATCCTAAAAGAGATATAACTACAGGCCTGACATTAGCCTCCAGTCCTCTTATCATCTTGGTTGCTTATCTCTGCACTCTTTCTAGAGTCTCAAAATCTTTTTTATAGTGTGGTGGCCAAAACTGGAACACTGTTTATGGCATGCATAAGCACACCAGTGTGCCAACTATCCCTGTCCTACTGTCCCCATTGATATGTACTCATTTTATGTGTTCATGGCCATGTTATACTTATTTATAGTCATCTATTTGCACCAATCTCATGTGAAAATTTCCATGTCTGTTACCTTGTACATGTTGACAAATAAATAGATAAAATAATAAGTATATGTCTCCTTAGACTAGCCATGCTAAGTTCCTGTAACCGTTCTCCGTGTTTCCCTCATTTATCCACGATTCAACAGCTGTGGCCTTTAAATATGGCAACTTAAAAATGCATGGACTTCCAACTCTTCAAATTCCTCAACTAGAGTGGTTCTGGTTTTTATATACTTTTAAAACTCTTTTATAGTTACCATTTTGCTCTTTGTAAGCTGCCCAACATCACCTTACTGAGGAGGTGGGCTGCATGTAAATTTAATAAATAAACCTTATCTTTTTAAAAAAAATCAAGGAGGTAATTGTTACCTAGACAACTACATGGATGTGTGATAAGGTCAACTTTGATTCAAATGAGGTTTTCTTTCATTGCTGTCCGTAGTGTGTTTCCTCTTTTAATTGTGATTCAAAGAATTCTCAGCTGAAAAGGGTTGCTTTCTATTGAGTTTCTGTCAATCCAAATGTTCATGTTAATTATTTTTTGGGGGGATCCAACACTAATGGGCTAATCCGTGCAGCGGTGAATATCTCTTCCACCACTCTGTTTCGCGTAGCTCGTTTGAAAATAAGATGTTGTATAACTTTTGCTATTTATTCCACTGGGTCCTGAAGGAATTTGCTCATCCCTCTCCAAGCCTTTGATCTATGAGAAGGAAATTTCCTGAAAATTAATTCCGTGGGTCCAATGAAAATTAGCATGCTGTAGCTCTCCCCAATCTTCTTCTTGCCCCTCCTTTTCCTCTCTCATGATCTAATGGTTAGAGACTGAGGAACAAATGAAGGTGATTAATGTGCATTCCGATGTTATGCACACATCCTTGGAATCAGAAGTCTGTTCGATGAGATTTATTTATTTAGGGGGGGGGAGATGGCATTCATCACATTGGTATTCTGCCCACAATCCCAGAAGGCTCTTGATGGCTCGCGGTAAAAAGACATGCAAAGAAATTGCTTAAAAACATCCCAAAACAATATGTGGCATCAGCTCCTCAAGACTACCGCCCATCCTCAAAGTAAAGCTCTATTTTCAACTTTTTTTTTGTTGAAAAGCTGATAATGTTGGAGACAGATGGATAGGCAGATTTATTTTTCGAGTGGAGAGGACTGCAGTATTAGTATAATGCTGAATATAAAACCGGATGGCAGTTGTTGACACTCGATTAGTCTCTTTTAATTTGCGAATAGGCAGGACTATCCCTAACAATGGTTCAGATCTTGCATCGGTTCAGAATATGCCTCCTTGCCTGTTAACTGGGGTTAAGTAATGATACCATGAACCGAGGCTAAAAATATGCCCACAACGTTTACATTCATATATATGCATATGCTTATTCAAGATGAAGCAACTTACTCCTGACAATTAAATTATGGCGGCTATTATCAATTGTCTACTATGCATATTCATTTCGGAAGGAGGCCTCAATGTGGCGCTTTAGAAATCTTAAAATGCTACTCTTTTAAGGATGGAAATGTTTTATTTAAACCAGCATCTCCTTGGTGGTCTCAAATGTAGGCTTCTAAAGTTCCAAGTTTGCAATTTGTCTGTCTCACTTTTCTGGACAAACAAGAATGTCTTCACACTTGCTTCTTGATCTATGGCTGTGTTTATACAGTGTCAAGCTTTGGGTTACTCAATTATTAGTGTGTTGACTAAATCACAGTTAAACAGTAATATGTATTTCCATAATTTCCTTCTCCTTCATCTTCCTTTTTTCCTTCCTTCCTTCCTTCCTTCCTTCCTTCCTTCCTTCCTTCCTTCCTTCCTCCTCTTCCTTCCTTCTCTCCTTTCTTTCTCATTAAGACCCTCCCTCCCTTACTTCCCCTCCTTCCTCCCTCCCTTCCCCTCCTTCCTTCCTCTGCCCTTCCTCCCTCTCTTCCTTCTTCCCTCCCTCCCTTCTCTCCCTCCCTTCTCATTAAGAAACCTCCTTCCTTCTTCCCCCTTCCCTCCTTCCCTCCTTCCCTCCTTCCTTCCTTCCTCCTCTTCCTTCCTCCTCTTCCTTCTTTCTCATTAAGACCCTCCCTTCCCCTCCTTCCTTCCTCTCCACGTCCTCCCTTCCTCCCTCTCTTCCTTCCTTCTTCCCCCCTCCCTTCCTCCATCCTTCCTTCCTCCTCTTCCTTCCTTCTCTTCCTTCTTACTCATTAAGCCCCTCCCTCCCCTTCCTTTCTCCCTCCCTTCCTCCATCCTTCCTTCCTTCTCTTCCTTCTTACTCATTAAGCCCCTCCCTCCCCCTCCTTTCCCCCTCCCTTCCTCCATCCTTCCTTCCTTCTCTTCCTTCTTACTCATTAAGCCCCTCCCTCCCCCTCCTTTCTCCCTCCCTTCCTTCCATNTCACCATCATGGCCTTCTACCGTTTCAGACAAGTGGCTGTCCAGTCTCTTCTTAAAAACCTCCAGTAATGAAGCAGCCACAACCTCTGAAGGCAAAGCTGTTCCATTACTTAATTGTTTTCACTGTTAGGAAGTTTCTCCTTAATTCCAGGTTGATTCTCTCCTTAATTAGTTTCCATCCATTGTTTCTTGTCTTGCCTTCTAATGCTTTGGAAAATAGGAAAAAAGGGAAATAAAAAAAAAGAAATTTAACAACTGACTTTTTCAAAGTGGTATAAGCCAGCTCCCCACACTACTGGATATATATAACCAACAACATATTCAATATAATACAGCAATCATTTAAAAATTACTGTTAATGCCAACAAAAACAGAGAAATGTGATAAAATATAACCAGGAGTGCAGCAGTCAAACAAGCTAATGTAATCCTAGGCTGCCTTAACAGAAGGATAGAATCACAATCATGTGAAGTCTTAGTACCACTTTTTTATGCTTTAGTAAGACCACATTTCGAATACTGGATCCAGTTTTGGTCACCAAGTATAAAAAAAGATGTTGAGATTCTGAAAAGAGTGCAGAGAAGAGCAACAAAGATGGTTAGGGGGCTGGGGGCTAAAACATACCAAGAATGATTATAGGAACTGGGCATGGCTAGTCTAGTGCAGAGAAGGACTAGGGGTGACATGACAGCAATGTTCCAATATTTGAGGAGCTGCCACAAAAAGAAGGGCTCAACCTATTTTCTAAAGCAACAGAAATCAGGACAAGAAGCAATGGATGGAAACTAATCAGAGAGAGAAGCAACCTAGAATTAAGGAGAAATTTCCTAACAATGAGAACAATTAATCAGTGGAACGGGCTGCCTTCAGAATGTGGCACTGGGTCCTCCATCACTGGAAGCTTTTAAGAACAGACTGGACAGCCACTTGTCTGAAACGGTAGAAGGCCATGATGGTGAACCTATGGCAGGTGTGCTAGAGGTGGCACACAGACCCCTCTCTGCTGGCACGCGAGCTTTCACCCCAGGTCAGATCTCCATGACAGTTTTTTGTGAGCTTCTGTTTCTCTGCAAACAACAAAACAGAAGTTCACGAAAGAAAAAGATCTTTCCACTTGCCACACTGCCGGTGTTGGGATGCCCCGCCGGCCAGCTGGTTATTGGGTCTCTGCTGTGCATGCATGAGGATGTCTGTGCATGCATGTCCCTGCACACATGTTTGCACATGCGCACACTCGTGCGTGCACCTTTCAGTTTGGGCCTGCACGAACACACAGTTTGGACATTTGGTGTTTAAAAGGTTCACCATCACTGGTATAGGATCGGCTTCCTGAGCAGGGGATTGGACTAGAAGGCTTCCAAGGTCTCTTCCAACTCTGTTATTCTATTCTGTTAGAAAAAGGAAGTACAAATACCTGAGCTTTTTTACCTTCCTGAGTTACATTTCAAACAGTACTTCCTCTGATTGGTTAGATAGTGTCATCGATTCAATGAACATAATTTTGGGCAAACTCCAGGAATTAGCAGAGGATGGAGGGGGGGTGTTGGGCGTGCTATGGTCCATGGGGTTGCAAAGAGTCAGACAAAACTTAGCGACTGAACAGCAAATTCTCTGATGTGTCAATGTACATGAAGATTTCTAGGGTTGTGGGAAATTAATCTAGTTTTACATTTGTAGCAAACTAATCACTTCATTTAAAAAAAATGTAGGAGCAGAGCCAAGTTAGACTGTGATGGCAAAAAATCCAGAGTCCCAGGATACCTTTTGGCAGACTCAAAGTGAACATTTTGGAAAACTTTAAGAATGCATTTCAGTTATATTTATCTTATCCCATATTCTAAAAAGAATTCTATCTAGACATTCTTTTGTTTGCATCAGAACAAGGGATAATTTTTAATGTACGCATTAAAAAAATCTTCTTGGGAATCCTTAACCAAGATAAAACAAAGAATATAACTTAATCCAGATCTTATACTTTTTAAAATTATGGCTAAAGCCCAGTGATATCGAGTATCAATTTACTCCAATTTATAGCTAGGATATTAGGGATAATAAACTCATATGTTAGTGGAATAGAATTAGAAATAGAATAGTCTGATCTACCTTTAAAGCATGAAATTCAATCTTGAAATAGTAGATTGGGGAAAAATATGCTGCTCTCTAGTTAAATAAATGCGGGTAAGAAATATATAATGTTGTCCAAAAGGACATGTGAAATTGATTTGCTTTGAGTTTGCAATTCTATTTTAATATGGCTTTCAATCCATCTTCGGTTTGCTTGTCCTATTTTTGACCTTCAGATCCATCAGAGGACACCCACAATGAGAAGCCAACGGCCTCTTTGGCCGAGCTGGAAGCAGAAAAGTCTTTTCAGAGTAAACAGGATGTTTTGAAAGAGGAGGAGAGGAATAGCTTGGAAGAGAGAGAGCCAAGGAGTCAAGATGTTGATCCTGATGATGAAAAGGAGAACATAGCAGGATTTGAGGGCAATGAAGTTGATGAAATGGAAGGATTGCCTTGGAGTGATACAATGGACAATCACATCAGTGACATCAGAGAAGATGATGTACTTAAGCAGACACAGCAGGAAGTTGAAGAAGTTGCAGGGACAGAGGAATCTGAGGATGAGAAGGAGCATGTTTTCAAAGAGAGTCAAGAGGAAAGGAAGGAAGAAGAAGTTGACAAGATCAGAGAGCAAATTGAGAAGGAAGAAGAAGAGGAGGAGGAGGAGGAAGAAGAAAAGGATGAAGAAGAAGAGAAAGAGAGGAATGCTTCTGAAGAGGAACATCCTACCACTTCAGATAATGTGGATGATCAAAGGGAAGATGGTATGTCTATTAGTTTGGGCTCAAACTCAACTTTTAATATGTGGGGTCGACCCATATTTGCCATCTTTTAGATTTTGGCTGAAGCAAGTCTATTGGGGAACTTACTTGCTAGATAGCTTCTCCTTATTGCTAAGATGACAGATTAATGATCACTTCACATTTTGCAATCTTATCCTGTCAGCGCTAGTAGCTTTGGGATTAACTAAAGCAGAGGATCTGGATATAGATATCCAAAATGATAGAGCCAACGTTCCCCATAGCTTTTACAGCATAATTTCCCCTTCTCCCAGGACTGTTCCTAAGTATATTTTTATACAGTCCTCATGGTAAACTGTTTTCTTTGGCCCATATTGAGGCACTACCTATTAAGACAACATCTGAGCCCTGGTGTAGTATTGCAGACAAACTCTACCCACAGCCTGGAGTTTGATCCTGACTGGCTTAAGGTTGACTCAACCTTCCATCTTTCTAAAGTTGGTAAAATGAGGACCCAGATTGTTGGGGGCAAAAAGCAAATAATGTTTTTGCATTATAAACTACCCAGAAAATGCTGTAAAGCACTATGGGGCAGTATATAAGCTTAAATGCTATTGTTATTACCACATAAATCCCTGGGGTTGATTGTTGGTTTGAGGGTGCTCCTTCTGCCTTTTAAAGTTTCAAACTTACAGTAGTTATGCCCCATTTTTAACTTTGTTTTTATCTATATTTTTATATGGCTGTATGACTTTTATTTATAAACCATCTAGAGCCACTTAGGTGAAATGGATGGTGTATAAATTTGATAAATAACATGCATAAAAATAAATATATAAGTCTCCTATATGAAAACCAAACTTGTTTTTGGGCAAATTTGGAGCTAGAATCTGTCTCACATATGCTATTAAAATGTCTACTTTACAGTCAACGATTATTGGACTTAATACATGTACACAACTCTAATTTTTGTTGCAACCTGGAAGCCATTACTTTTCTTCTGGGTGATGACTCTTGAGAAACCTCAGAAAAGATTGCAACATTTTAATAAATAGCCCTGGTTATTGCAAACCATCTGGTTCCTCTCTCATGCTACTGTATAGCAACTGTTAATTATTTCAGCATTTATCTCACAATTTTTATTCCTTTTTATAGATTGTTAGTCTTGCATTTGGCCTTGGACCGGGGTGGGTTCTGGCAGTCACTACTGCTGGTTCACTCATGGGCATTTCATGTGTGTGCTTGATGCACATGCGCAGAAACAAAAACCAAGATGGTGGTGCCTATGGTGCCGCCCCGAGAACCGGTTTGAGGGTGTGACAGGCCTGGGTCGCTGCCGGTTCCAGCGACCCAGGCCACCAAACTACTACAAGTTTGGCCAAACCGGACTGAACTGGTAGGAACCCACCACTGTCTTGGACCATAAATGAATTTTGACTGATTACATGAATATGTTGGACATCAATTTTAATGAATTTTGTAAAAACAAACAAACATGCTCCCTACATACATTTATTTCTAGCTTCAGCAAATAAGATTGTCACCTTAGATATTCCCCAATCTTCTCCAAATAATAATTCAGCCTTTCATAACATAGTGCCTCCAGTTGTGTAGGATTTCAATTTCCAGCAAATGGATATGAAAACTGGGAACTTATAAGAATTACAATCCAGCATTTCTGCAGGAAATAAATTGGAGAAGACACTTGTTCTTATTTGAGATGCATATTTGAGCCCTGCAGCAAACAGCTTTCCTAAGTACTGGGGTGACAACCAAGATCATCTTGTTTCTTATATGTAAGCTCTTAATAGTAAATGACAGGAACAGGCGTCAAAGGAATGGAAATAGTTTCTTGTGTTAAATAGGTCTCATTAGGAATTTAAAAGTTAGTATTGGCAATTAATTGACAACCAGTGGTTGCAACATATCACGTATGGAGTAAAACTGTATTAAAATATGTTGTATCAACTACATTTCTAAGCATGAAGTAGATATTCTAATACTGTAGTTGTTTCTGTAATATTCTAAAGTCTAAATTACAGTGGTTAAATCTCCAATCCTGGGCAAACAAATGAAACAATTCAAAGCTGATAGGAGGCTCACAGAGTTATAGCAATTGTTCAGATTGATTTGAGAGTTGTAGTCCAGGGTATTCAAATATATATGATTGGGGGCAGTTGCTACATGGAAACTATGCAATCCTTAGATAAAGTATTGTGATGGTGCAATGGTTAGAATGCTGTATTGCAGGCTAATTCTGCCAAGTGCCGGCAGTTCGATTTCTACCGGCTCAACTTTGATTCAGCCTTCTATCCTTCTGAAGTTGGAAAAATGAGGACCCGGATTGTTGGGGGCAATATACTGACTCTGTAAACCACTTAGCATTGTGAAGTGATATATAAGTCTAAATGCTATTCCTATTATGATGACAATTGAAATACCCACCTGTGCATACTCTGAGCTCCTAACAGATTTTATATCAACTATGTATAACAAAGCAAGTCACACAGAAGATGGTTAGCATTCAGCATCATTTTCTGCCCCACTGAAAGAGAATTAATTTGGTAAACTGGGGTGAGTGCACCAAATCTCAAAAATGGCTTATCTTTTTACACAGCACCAGATGATTGATCAATTTTATGATATAGCACCATTTCACGTACCCTGCAAAGGTGATTTCACATCCTAATACACTCCAATGCCTTGTATTTTAGATGGCCATTTGACAAGGCTTTAAATCAGCTTTCTTCCTCTTAGTGATAGCACCAAAATCTAACTTCTGAAGGAAAAGGTGGCGCAGTGGTTAAATGCAGCACTGCAGGCTACTTCAGCTGACTGCAGTTCAGCAGTTTGGCTGTTCAAATCCCAC